CTTTAAATGTCCCGATTAATCGGAACCGTTTACCACACTCGGGCCAATCACAGACAAAGGGCTTATCGCCCGTATGGAGAGTCACGTGTATCTTAAGATCAGCTAAAGGGGCCTTATAGTCACATCCGGGCCATTCGCACGGATACTTTCGCTCAGTTCTAATGTAAGGCTTCTTATTATGAACGGCCAATCGGTGCCTATAGAGCTGACTATCGGTCAAAAACATGTCAGTGCAGCCATCGGTGCCGCACCGAAGTGTTGCCTCATTATAATGAAGTGCCAAATGTTTTCTCAATACTAAACTAGTGGTGAAACTGCGGCCACAGCCTTCGATAGTGCACTTAAATGCCGGTTCCCCTGTCCTATGCACTAGTGTTATGTGACTATTGAGTGTATATTTGGATTTAAATGTCTTATCACATCCGCTGTGATTACAGTGAAATGGTCTTAACGTTGAGTGCTTTTTCTCGTGTAACTTAAGTGAGTTCTTTGTGACACAACTATAGCCACAGCCGTCGTATTCACACTTAAATCCTTTGATGTTTTCATGCACTAAGTGGTGAACCTTAAGATTTTTAAGCGATTTATACGATCGGTTACATCCGGGGTATTCGCATACAAGTCTCACTTCTGAGTGTACGGATCGCAAGTGATCCCGAAGACCATCAAGAGTGGTAAAAGACTCGTTACAATTAATTTCCGTACAAATGTATGAATTTGTGTCCGGATTGAAGCACTTTCTTCCGGAGTGTTTCACTTTCTTATGAAATACTCTTTTAGTCTTTGGTTTANTTATGAAATACTCTTTTAGTCTTTGGTTTAGTCTTTTTGGCGACTTTTGAATGACTTCTCATGTGTTGACTCAACATACCTTTCGTGCTACTCTTATACTGACAGCCCTTATAATCACACCTAAACTTCATGTTATAATTTGGAGACCTCTTAAGACTTATAGACTTTGATTGAGATCTAGTTTTAACTGTTTTCATACAACTCTTGCGTTCAATGAACTGCTTATTTGTCTTGTTTTTAATTGTTTTGTTCGTTGACTTCTTCGGCGCCACATATGCCTCATCCGAGTCTTCATCCGAGTCTTCATCCTTATCTCCATTTAGGTCTTCATTGAAACGACCACTCAATTGATTCGATTCTTGTATTTGATGCTGTCTTAGCCAATGTGCTAATTCTTGTCCATTGATCACAATTGTGTGACATTTGTTGGCATCACTTCTGTTGTCCACAACACCGGCACCTGATATCATGGGATGAGTTGTCTTTCGGTGCACTTCTCGCGTCCGCAACAACTCATTGAACTCTTGTTTGTCTTCGGATGTGATAATTGTCTCATATTTTGAGTGAATTTTAATTAAATGTGTTTTCAATTTGTTTGCAAACAATAACTCATTGAAAAGTCTGTGGTTTTCAGCCATTAATTCATCGAAAATATCGTTTATAGTAATCACTACTGACTTGCAATCGCTTCCCATTGAAGCCATAATTAAATTGCAATCAAATTAAACTAATTTTAAAAACACTTATAATCCGTAAATAAAATATAAAACTCAATGAAAATCGTAAACAAAAACTCATTTCAAATTTCATGTCATTTTTAGGGACTTTTCAATCATTGAACAAAAATCATGTCATAAATACTGTTCACTATTTCAAGTTTAAAAACATTAAATTAAATTTATTTTTTTAAGAAAATCAAGCAAAATATTTATATAATTTATTTCTGATGAACTCTCATATGTAAGTTCAGGTTACCCTTCAAAGTGCACCGGTATGTACACCCGGGCCACAGACAAGCGTGTGGTTTGATCTTTAAATGCATATCAATATGTACTTTGAGGTGACCTTTATAGGCAAAACTTTTGCCACATTCAGGCCACTCGCACGGGTATGGTTTCTCTCCCGTGTGGATACGGCTGTGGATAACGACGTTGCGTCCAAAGAAGGTACAGCCGGGCCATTCGCACCGGTAATTCCTCTTTACCTTTACTCTATGGGCCTTATTATGAGCGACCACTCTGTGTTTGTAAAGCATCTGATCCGTGAAAAAATTTGTCCGCAGTCTTTGTGAGTGCACCGAATGGTCGGTTGGTTTGTGTGAACCGACGAGTGGTACGTGAGCTGAGGCAGTGTCCGAAACTTACGATCGCATCCAATCACAGGACAGATGAAGGCTTCGGTCTCGTGTCTGAGGAAATGTTTGCGTTGTGTTGGCTGAGTCTTGAAAGCCTGATCGCAGCCCTCGTAATGACATTTAAAGGGCCGGACGTCTGAGTGTTTAACTGTATGTGAGTTGAGTTGATATCTGTAAGAAGAGGTATAGTCGCAGCCCTCGTAATCA